CCTTTTCTATAAATCGAAAGTAGACTGCCACCATACCAGAGGCCACAACATCTTAGTCTTCATATATGCATATGTTTGATTGAAAGATTGAAGTAGAGAGAGGGTGTCATCTGTCTAGCGGTTCCAACCTAATTCACAGACGAACGAACTTACACAATCCCAGTCAGACCTTTTCTGGGGTCATTAAACCTTAATGACTCTATGATGACGGGTTATGACGGATGTTTTCATATTCTGACTTACACGCGTACAAGCTCACATCTCATTAGCTCAACTGGAAGTGCTCACGGACTTACGCAGTCTCGTCGTGTTTCATTGTTGTGTCATCAAGACTTGATGGCCTGAGCCTGAAATTAGTCTTTTTCAACCATTCTGATTTATGGCAGGTATCGCATATAGACGTTAACACACACTCAAGTAAAAGTACCATAACCATTGTGAAGAGGGATAAGTGAAATCATTCTATACATTTTAGTATTTTAGTCATTAGAATATGAAAGACGTTAGATTTAGCCGGACAGTCTTCTTGGCGTAATTCTGACTTTTACCAAAATGAGTACTAGCTCTGATGATTGCCATCATATGATAGACGAAAGCTCAGCCCACCTTCCCCCGAAACGAAGGAGGATATCTCGTGGACTGTGTCCACTTGAACGTCTTAGTAAAGCCAAACAACTGCAGTACAACTTGAATCAGCCGTTGTCTTCTGGTGAGATGAACCTACAAATCTCCACGAAATACCACGTCCACGTTCCGACTTTGCAAATGCTTATGCATACAATAGACTCCGGACAGGGTGCGTTCCTCTAGGTTTTACTGCCAATATGACCAAGTTGCGAAATAAAGGTCAAACAACTTCTGTACAACAAAAGAAGTCTGCGACCAAACAAAAGGCCAAACCATCTTGGTCTTCATATCTTCAATTCAACTACGAATCGCTTATTCATGCACTTTCCTACCGAATGAAAGTCTCCACAGCAAGCTTGTGGTTGCCAGCACACTTTTCATCATTGCTCTCATTTCAATTATGACTATGTTTCAAGACTCCCAGTAATTCCTTAAATGGTCTAGATTGTGTACATGTCCTATTCAAAAATGACGCAAAATTTAGTATTTCCTCGCATTGAATGCCACTGTGCTATTGGCCACATGATCCTGTTTGTTGGTGCAACGCGGTTTATGCTTCGACACACACGTAAATTGAAGAAATAAACCAATAGAATATATGTAGACCAAGATGCTGTGGCCTCTGTTATGGTCACAGTCTCCTTTCGATTTATAGAAGTGGGTCGACCTCGTTTTCGCAACTTGGTCTTGTTGTCAGGGCGACTATGTGGAACGCACCTAGTCCGAAGTAGTCTGCAATAGAAGTTGTCATGATTTCCAGCATCTGACACTCGACTTGGTATATTCTCAAATGTTTCGTCTGCATCGTTGTCAGCATCATCAGTGAGTCCTGCCATTCTTCGTACCAAGTTACGAACTCGTCAAAGACACAAGTGAAGTCAATCCCTCGACAACCACTTTTGGCAAACATATACATGAACAAAATAGAAGAGAGCTTCAAGACGGCACCGCTACAACCGAATGTATCAAGTCCACTGCCTGATGCTGGGTATCATAACAACTACTATGGCAGACGACTTCGGACTCGGTGCGTTCTACATAGTCCCCTTGACAACAAGATCAAGTTGCGACAACGAGGTCAACCCACTTCTGTAAACCAATCGAGTTGGTCTCCTACAAAGTCAACTAGTGCGCCTCGTTTACCCCAATCGGATTCTGCTTCCCGAAAGACCTATCACAACCCATCCAATTCTTCGTCGTCTTTCAATGTTGTCATGTCGTCCTCTCAGAATGGTACATCCCCAGACGTTTCGCCGGACTGACAGGTGGTTGTGCCAGTGAGCAAAGCCAACCTTAGCAACAAGTCATGGATCATTTGAGCAAAATGTCGGAAATGGAACTCATTCAACGATCTGAGGCTGATAGGAGGCAGAAATACGAGGGCAGATGAGGCGGCAAAGAGTAGCTTTGCAGAGACCGTCAGAAAATGTGATTAATTGGAAAAAACTAAATCGACCAACTGTAGCGCAGCTACTGCTGGCCATTATTTCGTCAACGATGATACAGAGAACCCCATTTGGGCCTCGAGATGGTCTATTAAGGCCACAACTCGTAAACTTATGACAACTGCGAATTAGTGATAAGTTAGCAAACTAGACATAATTAACACTTTTTTAGCATAATCTTATACATTTTTGCAAGCTACAGGGTCACTTCCTTCTCAGCTATTTTTAAACAGGGTTACTATATTTGATAGTTCCTCCGAGAGCAAATGTATATACGCACTTGAAACGCTATTGAAAAAGGCTTTTGTGGACATGGCAATTATTTACTAGACAATCTGAAATTGAAGCTATTTGCGGGCTGAAGGCAGAATTGAGGGCAAACACACCTTTTTGCGAGGACGTCGACTCTGAGGCCAAGCTGACCAAGTGTCAATACGAGGGTGAACACTTTTGGGGAGAAAAACGTCTTCCTACGACTCGGAATGATCCGCAATGGTGACCTCGAGCAGAGGATAGACAAACTCGGGACTCGAAGTGTCTTCAGGTTGCTTTGCTCTTCCAGGGTTCGACCAGCCATTGAGACATAAGCTCAATGCAACTGATCCCCGGAACTGCTTCATCATACATCAAAGTATAATTTGAAGTAAATCTCATTTCTTGGAGCCCTATTCGTAAATGTGACTCGCCGGAATCCCATCGTGACAGACAACGTCAAAGCAGAAGCTACCATTTACCCACAAATCACGGAAATTTACACCAATTTATCCTATTACTCAATTGCTAACTTAGAGGATTGACTAAGTCAATAGATAGTCATATTTACTAAATCAAGCGGTGATGCTGCGAGGGTAGTTTATGCACGAAGATAGGCACTTTGTGCTCTTGCCTTCGCACAAAAATAAGAGTCAACTTGCAGGCAAAAGGCAGATAATGGCATCATCAGTAGTCTCGCAAGTAGTACGCCGTGCCGTTTGATTACTTCGTGTGATGCTCCGTTAGAAGCTTTGAGCGAAAGGTACCGCACGCGGGTGTGTTCTGTCGAAGCTCGACCCAATTCGAAGATGCGTTTTGCAGGGTATCTTCGGAGACATGGATTGCGAAACCGATGCTGAGTGGATGCGGTGACTGCGAAACTTTGTATGATTAGACGAGCACTTGTCAAGTGTACGAAAAAATGTAATATTTGCTGGTGCTGGTGGTGATGCTGATGGCGATGCGAAGAAGCAACAGGCGTGATTGGAAGAGCCGAAAGAGCAAGATGGTGAGAAGAAGCAGGTAAATGAGGAAAATGAGTATGAGAAGAATTAAGAGCGGTAGGAGAAGAAGGAGATTGAAATAAAGTGGGGGTGTTGAGGGGGAAAAGTAAGAGAAGAATGAAGCGGACGGTGAGAAAAGTAGAATAAGGGGAAGTAAAAGGAGGAAAATGCGAATGGGAAGGGATAGGAAGAGAAGAATGAGAAGGATGCTGAGAATAAGCAGGAAGTTGAGAGGAATCAGAAGGAAAATGGGTTGTAGATGAATAAAAGGAGAAGGAGAGAGGAACACTGGCAGGGAGGAGGAGAAGTAAGTTGATAATGGGGACAGGAAGGAGAGGAGAATAAAGAAAACTATTAAGATGTAATGAAAATTACTTGTTAGAGGAGGAGGAGGAGGAGTATGAAAAGATTTAGGAGGAGGAGGAGTTCGAGTAAGATGAGGAGGTTTAGGAGGAGCATGTACATTTCAATGGGCATGTCGAAGCAGACTGTCGATTTCTGCCTTGAATGTGGAATCTGTCAAATGATTTGCGATTGTCCTCGTGGACTACGACGCCATCCTTCTCCAAATTGCACTTCTTTGACCAGCAATGCGATCGGGCCAATGAACAGACAGGTCCTGGTGAACATGTGTTGTCATGCCCCTTCTGTCTTCTACCTTCAGGCAGCCCAAAACACGCGGTTATGAAATTTGTTCCCTGGCAATACTACCTGGTTGTCAATGTGGATTTTTTATCTAAAAAATATATCATATTATTGACTTGACTCAGTCCTGCTTGCACATGCATGCTTGTTGATGGTGGAATTTGATGAGTGAAGTGGCTATCAACGCTGCTTAATCACACAATGGGTACTGGTGTTTTAGTAATTGGTTGAATGTGAATTGTGTATGGGCTGTGTTTATCCTTCAGATGAGATCTACCAGCACAAAATGCAACTTTGAAATCCCAAGTCAAATTGAGCTTCTTCCTCTAACAATGTAGTTCATCCAGATTTATTTTTCCATTCATATCCATTGACGAGAGTAATTAGCCACTTAATTTTGTACACCAATTCAAGATTTGTTTGTTTTATTACTTTTTTAATGACTCTCTTATTGTCAACATTGAGTTGATATCTAAATTACTTTTAAACACTTGGCCTTAGATCAGCTACTTTTCCTTTCAGCACCCTTGAACCTCCTTTTGGCGCTATTGTATGAATGTTCTCAAATGATGGTCTGGGGCCCCGAAGGAGGTTGTCAGCGAGTGACAGACGAAATCACGACACGAAGTGACTAAAGTCATAAGACGCTGTCAGAGGACGATGCTAGCCACAAATTTTGCTAATTTATTTCAATTAAATTTCTATTTGCAATGAAAGATCTAGTGGTTTATCAGTAGATTTGTCTTGGTGATAATTTGCTTGTCCATACCAAACCGGCAAGTTGTTGTAATGAAATCAACTTCCATGTAATTCGATACCCTAAAGCGCTACAGCTTCTGGACTTCACCAGCACCGCAAACGAGATGCAACTCAAGCCAGTGTTAGTGGGTCTGTAGTCAGCCGACCCTACTCTTCAATACAACACAATTCGAAACCAACTTGATTTAAGTAGAAGTACGTTGACCTCGTTGTCGCAACTTGGTCTTGTTTTCAGGGAGACCATGTAGAACACACCTAGTCCGAAGTCG